CCCCTAATACACAAACCTCCCTGCAAAATTTCAGAAATTTCTGATAAAATGCACAGAAATTATTAAGCTTCAAAGTGAGTGAACAAAATCATACCAATCCACACAGAAAACCCCTCTTTTTTCATTTCTCAAAGTTTCAAGGTTCAAAAACAAAAATCTCGGTTTGAAAGTTTTACATTCTTTGTTTTATAACAAGGAATGTAAAAATAAAATGCATTAAAAATTAATTAAATCAAGTTTGGTTTTACTTCTCCATGCCACTATTAATCTTTTATAAAATTATTCTAAAATGATGTATGAAATTTATCAGTTTATCAGAACTTTCATAAATTCATTAATTACTAAACATATAGAATGATAGTTTTCAAGTCAAATTATATGGATTCCATTCTCTTATATAAATGAAAAACAAGCAAGTCATTATGTAAGCCTGAATTATACTAATAATTGAATGACAAAGGAAAATTAACTATTAAACTAGAACTTGGCTAATTAATTACATAGATATTACATAATTTGGACTAAAAGAAATAAATGATTAAGCAGCCATCTTGCATTGTATTTAATAATTAGAAAAAAAAATTTAAATATTCTGAAAGAACTAGTCTGGACAAATAATCTTTTCGAGTAAAGATAGTATTGTGTAAACTTTATTTTAATGATTTCTTATTTAAAAAAAATACAACAACGCAATCAACTTCATTTTTTTATTTCATTTCACTCGATATGAAGTGAAAAAAATACAAACTCTTACTAATAATTATAAATTTTTTTCAGGATTAGTAAAATAAATTTAACAACCATTATAATAGAGCATCAATTAGCCAAAATAATTGAACAAGACAATTTCAGATAACCAGTTTTTTGGGTAATCAATGACACTTGGTAGGGAAAAAATATAAAAAAAAAATATGTACATTAAATGAAGTAAAACTATTAATTTTATTTCTAGTACAATAATAATGCAAGTTTAAGACAATTTATAACTCACATTTGAGTTCGAAGTCCAACACACAATTTATTAAATTATTGTCTAATTTATTAAAAACAAGCAACAGGCCTAGTTTTTCATTAATTTTATTGTCTTGTAGATTGCATAAGTTTCATCAGTATGTATTTTTTACTTTGAATTCAATGTTAATTTTTCTTTTTAACTCTGCTAAATCTGATTTGCTTGATCATCATGAAAGTTAAAAAAAATCTGCTTTAGGATGCATTTCTAACTATGACAATGTTGTTTTTAGGCATTAAATGCATCACTGTGCTTAGACACCAATGCATTAAAAATCTGATTCATTAATCATTATGGGGTCTGAAATGGTTGCCAAATTATAAACTTTAATAGAAGTCAAAAGAAGGACCTGGAATATCTGTCAACATTTACACGTGACTCATCCAAACCATGATGATATACATTTAGTCATTGTTCTGAATCATCTTTGAAGGAGAAAAACCTCCCAAATTTAAACTGGCCCAGGATGTAGAGAGCAGACAAAAATTACCAATAAAAAAAGAGAGGAGAGTCCATCTGTCCAACAGTAATATCACTTTGGTCTGTATAAGTGGACATTCATTAAGGTCACCAAACAATCTGCTTTTAGGTGGTTTGCCCAAGTACCTGCTCAATTCTAAAAATGTCCCACTTTTTTTTTTATAACGAAACTATTACAATCCAAAACATGTAAAAAGGCATCAAACCAACACAAATGTGCAAATATATCTGGTGGAATGCTGAAGATGACTTGCATAAACTGATTGTTATTAATAAATTTTCAAAAGTCAGCAATACAGTTATTAATTTATTATGTTAATAATTAAAAACACAATAAATCAGTTAAGGTAGAGCTGGATCAGCACCCACTACTTTTTTCGAGAAAAAGTTTACTCTAAAATCTTTAGAATAAGATTTTACAATTCAAATTTTAATTAAGAAAAATATGTTTTAATATATAAAAAGTTTGAAGTATATTTATAGTATTTATAATATATATTAGAACATATTTATACATTAACAACATTTTTGTAGTAAATTCAAATTGAGTAAAATGTTTTATTTTTGAAAATTATTCATAGAGTTTATTATTAATCATGCTTGTGCATTCTAAACACTTTCTTAATGATTAGATACTTACTGATGGTTCAACTAATGCAAAAATTGAGATCAACTCTGTCAGAGACTGAGACACCACGTCCAAGTGCCTGATCTAATGTCCTGCTTTTTAATTTCAAGATCTGGTCACTTTAAAATTCAGAGAATGTGAACCAAATACCAAGAAAGCCATGAGGAATCATATCCATAACGACATTCATAATCAGAGATAAATATTTAAATGAAAAGGTGTGGTTGGTGTATTACTACTGTCACTGATATTGGTTGTATTTTCCTCTTAAGAGGCTGTAGATATCTTTTTAATGATATAAATAACATTGTATATTTAGTTATCAAATTTATTCTCAATGTATTCATGATTTCTGTGTTCCACTTCAAACTCATAACATTATCCTGCACAGGGAATTCTTTGTTTTTTTTTGTTTTTTTCTCACTGACAACTTGAACTAAAATGTTTCATTTACACCATAGTAATTGTTAACATGAAAAAACTGCATTTTTTCTGGAACCTTCATCAGACGTCCTCATCTCTTTGTTCCTTATGTCTTTATTGTGTCCTTTCTTAACTATTTTAATCTCTTTCTAACTTTCAATTAAAAAGGCAGACTGTATATTCACAAAATATAAAATACAGAAGAAACTAAAGCATCTTTGTTTCCATACTGTCCAATCTCCAGGAACTAAAACAGTCTTCTCTTGCAGAAACAACCTTTATTAGAAGCTACGCCTCTGCAATATTATATAAAACAGTTTTAAAAGCAGCAGTTTTAAGGAAGCAAAGACATTTTAGTTTCTTCTGTATTTTATATTTTGTGAATATACAATCTGCCTTTTTAATTGAAATTATGCATATATTTTTACAATTTTTGGCTTATCATCAGTGAACATTTTTAAAACTGTTTTACATAATATTGCAGAGGCATAGCCTCTAATAAAAGATCACCTATGCAAAAGACTCTTAGTTTCTGATGATTGGACAGGATGGAAGGAAAGATTTTTTAGTTTCTTCTGTATTTTATATTCTCTTACTAACTCTAAATTTCATCCTTACTACCTGCATCTAGTAAATTTTTATCATCAATTCTATACTCTTCTACAAAATCACTGACCATATCATTTCAATACTGTTTTATTCATCATTTTCTTTTCAAATTCTAGTTAATTTCTTTAAAAATTTGACTTCCTCAAATTTATTTATAATACATCTAAACTCAAAATCCTTGATATCAAAATTTAAATTTTTTAATTACACTGAAATCATACATTGTTTTTTAATATTTACTATGCAAAATATCATCAATGTATATGGTTTCAACATAATTTTAATATGTATTGTCAATATGTAATAAAATTCTTCTCGATGATAGAATAAATTCTTTTAAATTAACCAATGTTGTTCTATTCTAAGATTCAAACATATTCTGTTCTTTGACAGCTGAAAATGGTCCAATAAAAGTGAAAATGTTTCTAAATTATTGGATGGTTTCAGTGCCTTTAATTTAATAAGTAGGCATGTTGACTTTACATTTAAGAATAGTACCGAGTGTTGTTCATTTTAAATAATTTTGAATATTTGATGAGTTGAAAAGCTCTAAACTAATGGATATTTTTAAAAAAAAACATCAAGAACATAAAAATAATTTTAATTTTTGTCTTAGAAATGAAGAACAATTGAAATATTTAAATAAAAGGAAACTCAAAATGTTTGCTAAGTAGACAAAATTTAAAAAAAAGGGTGTTTAAAATTTTAGTCACAAGAATTTTATTTATTTATTTGTTGAAATAAACAAGCTTTGGTTATCTTTAATAACCAATTTTGAAGTTCTTTTTTTTTTTAATTTAGAAACATTCTAAAATTTAAAAAGTATACTTAAAAACTTGCTACATAAATCGTGTTTTCATTGAGCATATAAAGAAAAAAAAACTCATTCTAACATTTTTGATTTTTCACCTATCTTCTCTCAAAGACTGATGAAAACTACATGTTAATTAGAAATACTCAAATATTCTTTAGTTTGACACAACGGAATAAAGCAACGTAACCCTCGGACGATCTGCCAAGGAACATGCCAACCGGGAAGACTTTCTATACCCATTTAGGTCATTTGTTTAGTTAAGTTACGGCAATGCTACACTCGGGCGATCTGCCTAGGGGAATGCCTTCCGAGAGTTCTTTTTAAGGATAACCTGCCCCTATTCGGGCTTTACGAACATAGAGAAAACCAGAAAAATTTCACGCGGCCAGCCCGTCCCATCCAGGCGCGAACCCACGACCAAACTCCCAGCGTTTGGGAAACGGAACCGCTCGGCCACGGGGAGACGCAAACCCGCAACCGACCACCCACACCCGGCAGTTTTATCCTCTCGGCCACGCTCTGCATCAAACAAATCAGAACAAAAAGTATACGGTCACAAAAACGACAATTTCGTCCCATTTACATCCCAATTTTTACGCTCGCCGGGTACATTCTCAAAGATAAACATAAACCAAAATGTCGAAATAGAGTAAATAAAAAAAATATATAACAAACAAACCACATTTAAGTTTCTAAATACATTTACAGTTAATACCGCACTAATAATCAAACAAAACATGTCCGAACATTCAATTCGATACAAGGAAATAAGAACTTGTAGAATTAGTTCCAAATACTTTAACAGCTGTGACACAAAAATAACAAGCTTATAATATATCTTATACAATAATAAAAATCATCAAAGCATAGAGAAATATTTCATTTAAACCAATTTAATGATGCAAAAAAAATAAACACTCAATTTATTAATTAAACCAAGCGTGAATCTGTTCATTAATTACGAACATATTAATTAAGTTATGCATAAAATCATTAACGATTGTAATTAAAAATAATAATTGCATAAAATTTACCTTTAATCTGGACTTGGTGACTTTTCCAATCCTGTTATGATCTAAAGCATCGAAAGAGTGCCATAAAGCATTCTTCACGTCTCTCCACAGAGCCATTAGTCCAGAAAATTCTAAAAGGCGACGGAATTATTTAAGTGCAACCTCGTTTATCAAACGTTAACCACTTTCAATGAACAGACGAATCCATTTAACAAATCGTCCATGAACGTTTATGTCGTTTGGTTTGAACAGCGACACTCCACCCAACAGACGACAACTCTACTCATCATCAGAATTTTTTTATTTTTTTTTTTTTTTTATTTAAAAAAATTACCTTCGATAATTATATTTAATTCGTCTATAATTATTTTTTCACTATTAAATATTATTATTGCTCGATAAAATCTTCGTTTTCGAATCGAGACGTTTTAGGAAATTCGAAATTTCGCTTCTTCCCCCCCCCCCCCAAAAAACGAACCCGAAATTTTTAAAACGTAATTTAATTAATAAGTTATTATTAAGGAAGTAATTCGTAAAATATTATAAATAATGCATCGTGAAATTTTATTGCGTTTAAAATGTATACGGGTTGTTGTTAGGTTTAAATTTATAGTTTTAAATTTTGAAGTATCCAGGGGTCGTGCGAGGTCAATGTCCAAATTGATAAACACGTGATTTCGTGTATAATGTATTATAGTAGATAACGAACCTTTATTAGTAATTCTCATTGCGCTCTATCTATGGGTTTTGTTTCGAGAACGGAAACTTTAGTTACTAGTTTGCGTGCAATTTGTTTTTCTATTGATTTCCTTTTAAGACAGGAAGACCAATCGATTTTTTTTATATTTTTCTTTCCAGAATTTTCATTTTAAAATATTTTTTAATGAATTTGTCATTGCCTTTAAAAGATTATCTGCAAAATGTTCATTTGTATAATTTTATAGTAGTATTTTTTTAATAATAAATTTAAAAAATTGTTTTACATTCAGAAATGATATACTTTACTTGCATGATTAGTATAGAAATTTCATTGTCTCCCTGTTTGTTGCAAATGTATTAAAGGTAATGAATAAAACCTATGGCAATACTTGTCTAACAGTTTTAGATAAGATTTAAAAAACAGATGTTTCTAGTGATGTAAAGCAATTGTTTGTATGCTCATTACTGCTAGTAAATTACACTTTGTTTAATGAAGGATTAAAACCAAATATGATTACCATATTCAGAAAAAAACTGGCATTTCCATATGAAGAATCAATTGCTTGAAGTCGCAGATCCAGGAAGCAAACCTTATAAGGACGGTTCTCATGTAACGAAATAAATTTTATATAAAAGTTTCATCGGTTTATTAAACTATATAAATTTAAATGTAAAAATTGTTTATATATAAATGTATCATTTGAAAGAAATAATGAAGCTCATGTTAGCAATAAGTCTTAGAGGATTATCATCCTTCCACTATATAGATATCTGGTTGAAGCTTTATACTTTATTACCACACACAATTGCATGCTGGTAGAATATACGTAACTGCCGTTAAATATTGAGAATTTCTAAGATTGATAAAATCATTCAAATTTAAAGCAATCTTAGAAATTCTCAATATTTAACGGCAGTTACGTATATTACATATTACATTAAATTGAGTTTGTTATAGAAGAATGTAATATAAACTGATATAAAGATAAATTGTCATACGAATTTTATATCATTGTTCCCTCTACAATATAAATATTGACTGCATTCATACAAAAACAAAGCTGACAAAGATGTTTACAAATATATTTGCCATTCTGTTATAGTATTTAATATTAGAAAATACTTAAATGCGCCTAAAATCCTCAATATATTTTATTCGAAAGAATTTTAAATGCAGTTTGATAATTTATAATTATATATAAAATTAGTAATTATTACGTACGGCTATCATTTCTAGAATGTGTCATCCAAAATCAATGCTCAACTATGTAATGCTAAACAGTCTTATCTAAACATATATCTGTATTTAAATATTTTATTTAAATCAATTAATTACACAGTCTATTTATAAATAGGATTTATTTTTTTGGACAATGTTAACAAGAACTTCATTTATATAATTTCATTTACTATGTCTGATGCAAAGTCAACAGAGTTTAATAACGTTGTTCCCAATATTTTATATGGAATGTTAATGACAACAACAAAATACATAATACAAAGTAGCACTCAGATAATTTCTATATGTATGTCTTTAATCCTAATTTCTTTATTAGAAGTTGCTTTGACAATAATCACAATATACAGTAGTTGATACGATACATTTGAAAAAAATCACAGTGCTATTTTTTAACTTCGCAGCAGCATTTCGTAAGATTGGTGGATACCGGCGCATACGTCCATTGCTCGAGATTTCAGTGAAAGCTGAAAAATAAATTTGGTTAATTTACAAAAGACTTTATATACTAGGAAAACTAGGTCAAAATAAAATATGGAATATCAATTTTTCCTTAATTATAAAATTTCAACACACTAAATTTTATTTTATATCATATATGGGTAAAGTTGTTAAAGCATATGATCATATCCCAGTTAACAAAGAACACCTTGAAAAATAACAAAAATCAGTTAAAAATATTAAATTTTTTAATAAAGCTATAATGCTAAAAGGTACAAGTGTTCAAAATTACACATATTTGTAATTTGATAGAACAATGTGAAACAACCTAAAATTAGGAGGAAGACAAATTTGAAGTTAAACAAGTACTAACACATGCAATCTGAAGTTTAATGTTTTATAAGTTTTTTAAAATCTTTTATCAAGCAAAACACAGGGTTCCTACTCAAATTTTTGTCTTAAATTCCATGACTTTCCCTGATCATTATGTCCCTTACAGTACAGCACATGACTTACTATACAAATATGCTATTGCTTCTTCGACTTTTAAATTACTTATTTTTTTTCAAATTAACAGTAATTAAAAATAAAAATGTTTTATTAAATTATTTGTCCTGTTATTAATCCACAACCATAAATCTATGTGGCTTTGAAAAAAATAAAAAGCAGTTATTATTCATTAACAAATCCATGTACGAAAGTATACATTTATTAAATTTCTCTCTCAATAAATTTCCTGAACTTTATAAAATACTAATAAACTCAGGGAAAAAAAACATTGTTTTTTTACACAATCAAAATCATTGAAATAAAAAAGACAATTACAAAAGACAAAGACTATTAGAGTAAGAAAGGACAATCATTTATGTAAAAAGGATAAAAATGGCTATTTCAATGGTCTTTGCAAAGTTATGAATCAACAAATTAAGATAATTTTGTAGAATAACCCAAGTAGAATTCATTAACTTTATCATCAACCTATGCCATACTGTAGAGTGTGCTACAATATATACATTAACATCTTAAAACAGATCCTTGAAGTATAGCAGCAAGGTGTGTGAAGTCTAGAAAAGAAAAACTGCTCATCTATATTTTATACTGAGTGAGGTTTCTAAAGTAGTTGACAACTTTTTTCCTTCAATACAGTTGTGGACATACTATATACATTTTAGATATAAAAAACAGTATAACAAAATCTTTTAAAAATTAACTCCATAATATTTTATTACTATTTTGTTGTTGTAGCAAATTTTCATTTTTCAGAAGTGAGATGCAATTTTTCAAATACACTTTCATCATCCATTCAGACATGGTAAGCTTTTATAGACTAAATTTTTTTGTACTAATTTTTTCATTTAAAAAATTTTTTAGAAAGAAAAATATTTCCTCAATACACTATGTGCTTTTATCTTATAATCATCCACAGTTTACAAAAATTTCTTAGCTACAACAAAAATACCGTTAGGATGTTTTATGACAAACAATTTGATATTTTCAAGGCTTTCATATAAAATAAAATATTCATGCTTGATTTTTGTTCATCATAAGCAGGAAAGAACAAAAATAGAATAGGTATAGACTAATAAATAGAAAAATGAACTACAAAAATTTATGAGAGTTTAATTCAGATCAGAACTGTATCTTTTATAACAGAAGTTTCACTATTCATTCTGACAGAAAATACATGCAACAAAAATATAAAAAAACAACGAAATATAGTTATCTTTCTTAATATATTGCCTATTTCTTATTTAAGAAAAATATATAAATTAATAAACAAATAGTTCAAAACAAAAATCCAAATCTGGAAAGAGAAACTTAGGTATTTGTGAATTATACTGCCGATAGTGTGTGTGATGAAATTTAAAATATTTTAATTTTAAAACTATTTTATGCAAATAAATCTATACTGATGCCTGATAATTCATAATTTGCATTTAGCATTTTCATAACTTTAGCGTTTAAATTATGACAACTAGACATGCTTGCTTGCATCCTGTTTTGTATCATTTTTTTAAATATACAGTGTAATTCAAAACATTGACATTTTGCAACTGTTCAAAGATTTTACAACAGTATTATTCTATTTGTACAAAAGAAATCTGAGGTGCACACATCATTAACAAAGATAAAAGCAATTTGCATAAATCCAACATCTACAATCTATTGTAAATGTAGTAAATTAATCTATATATCTGAGGAAAAATGTATTACAGAAAGATTTAAAAGTATTGAAATTTAATAATTACATTATAATTCAAAAACATTTTTACTTACTGTAAAATTAGGGTTGCCAGGCTGAATCTTTAATTCAGCTAATACCCAAATACCATTTGTTAGTTTCAATGATTGATACAACATATCTTGACCTTCGACATTTCTTTTAGCAATTGTGAAGATATTATTGTTTTGTAATTTCTGGGAGATTTGATCTGAAACAAACAAACATTTACACAATTGTTTCAAAAAAAAATTATTATTACATACAATACCTACCAGCAGAAAGAGGAATATTTTCTATATTATACTGAACTTCATTTTGTGCAGGTATATCTTTCCATGTTGCTAAAAATACTCTCTTATCCATCAGACCATCCTCTGTACAAACTACATGCATTGGTATCAAGCAGCTAAAATAGAATACATCAACATTGTTCTTCACAGCAACCTAAATAAAGATTCACATTTAGAAATGTCTAAAGCTATTTAAAACCAAATTTCTCAAGAAAATATTTAAGTTGTTTTTAACATATATTCCATCATTCGAAGATTTCTGGTCACTAACTTTTAACATTGCAATTTTGAAATAATCATTTTTTCATATATAGTTGTACTTAATATTTATCTACTGTATTTCCTTGATTAAACCCTGGTCTTCAAATAAACCCAAGGGAATTAAGGTGTTAAAAATAAACCTTGGGTGAAAAGCAGGAGAATCATGTTAAAATATTGGACTGTATAAGATAGTATAGTTTGGTGAGATGTTTGTTTTATTGTTCATGGGGTAGAATGAATAAAAGGGCCTTTTTCAAGGCTTGCTGATTATCTTATCTTAGAATTCAATGTGACTTTAATTATTGTAAAACCTATAAAATATCTATGTAACTATTAATTCTGTAACCATTCAATTTTTCCCTTTAAACAGACTAGTTTATATTTCAATCAAAAATATAATTTAATTATAAATACTAACCTGTAAATTAGTTAATGGATCCATTTTTTGTATTGGTCCCATTGTGTTGATTGGTAACGAAGTTTCAACACTAGAATTTGGCTGAAGTGGAGAAGGTACTTGAAGTGGTTGAGCAGGTGCAAATCCAAAACTTAAAAAGTAAATTGAAGAATTTACAATTTGTGATAAACTAAAATAGTTCATTTTCAATAATATCATTATCAGAATATTTTTCAATTAAATAATTTAAACATGATTTAAAAAATATAATAAATTCTCAAATTTCTTTATATGGATTTCAACTTTATATAAATTCATATATTACAGAAATTCAAACTCTCACTTCACTTAAATACCCAAATTTTATTAATTCCTTTAGTTTTTACTTGTTTAGTTAATTCCTTGATTTTTTTTAAATCTTAGTTGCCATTTCTTGTATAATAATTGTTACAAAAACACCCAATAAACACTATACTGCATTTTATTTTAATAAATAAAATGTCAACTCATATTTGATATCCTTACTATCCATATATTTTTTGAAAATTATGCATATCAATTCATTTCACATGTTAAAAATTGTATATTACTTTCCTCTAAATCTTAGTTTTTGGCAGTTTTTAACTTACCAAAACAAAAAGGGGACAACTGTTTCCATTTTAAAAACATGGTATTTACTTATTTTAGTTCTCCCTAATATGACAATTAGTATTATTTAAAACTTTTGTATATGATAAGCAAAATATATTTCAATACACTCCATATTTTTTAATCATTTTCTGTTTAGTTTTCTTTCCATAACATATTTATCTTTACTCTTTAATACCTCGTTCTTTGTTATTTTCGGTTTATCATTCATTTTACATTTTTACCAATCTACCCTTGTCTGATTATATTTAAAGAAGTATTACTAGTAAATTATATACTACTAGTATGAAGATCCTGATTATTGACAATGAGTTATTCCATAATCATTAATTTTTACTTACCGTTTGCATACAAACATTGTTATTAAATTACACATTTGAAAATTCAGGAGGTATTGGTATTATAATTAGATCATACACAAGTTAATCTATATTTTTTATATATTTATGAACAGCTTAGTTTCAGTTTATTCTAAATTTCAAAATTTTAGCAATTAAAACAATGGTAAAATATTCTCATTTTAATCAAAAATTAAATATGTATTTTTTAATAAAAATTTAGAAGCTGAGTATTTTGAAATTATTCCTATAAAATTATTCTTTTGTAAGAATAAAAAATAATAAAATGAAAAAGTAAGAAGTTTAAATGTAATTTCTATATACAAATTACATTTAATGTTTTATAAATACTAATTTCATAACATTTACTATTCCAATATGGCACGTTTAATACATGTAATTCCTACCTATTTTTGTTAAACTGTATAGCAAATGAACTCATAGCTTGCATTGCTTTATTGTTTACAGTCATTTCCATAGTAATTTGCCCATTATGCCGTGAAAAAGTACCAGTAATTTCAAGACCTTTTCCTCTTGCAGCAGGAAGCCAAACCTTTTATATAAAAATACATTATGTTTAATAATTTGAGTAATATACTTAATTATAAAATAATAAAGTTATAATTTTTTAAACTTATATCAGATACCGATGGGTGAAATTACAATTATCATCAAATAGCAATTAAAAAGTAGCTACTTGCTGTTAAATTTAATATTGAATCATACAATATCTTAAAGTGAAGTAAAAAAAAAAATTATTATTAAGAAAAATTACACAGTAATCCCTTCATTTATGCAAATTCACTTTAACACAGTTGAAAAATTTTAAACAGTCAGCTTTATGGAAATAAATGAGTGTTATATCAAAAGTTGTGATTTTTATCAATAGTAACCTCTTTATATAGACATATTTGTAGAAACTTTTACTTCAGTATGTAAAATACTGTATTTTCAAATATAGAACAAATCCCTATTTTAAACAACTTCCCATGGCTAAACTTACATGATTTTCATTGGGCTGCAATTTGAAAAAATTGTAGACCTATAAATTCCCACTGTTGTCCATCCATATTTCTTTAAACTCAAGAATGTAGTTAAATAGATGAAAGACAAGACCAGATATCGGGGCAGGAGGCCCCAATTAACTATATATGAACTTCTGATGCAAGCTGGAAGTCACATTACTTCAAAACTTCCCCCTGAAAGTCAATAACCAGCACAACTCTATTGTTAAAGGAAAAGTATGATGTACCAGGATGAACCACTACTAATTTGAGGTGGAGAATAATTTGAAGTTAAAAAAATTATTAAAAATATGATTAAAAATTGCAGCCCAGCATTGTGACAGTGTCACAAATAATTGCTTGTTTACACACTGCTTTTGTGGAACCAATTACTTAACATGCTTGCAAACAAAGGTAAATTATAATTTACCTTTGTTTGCAAGCATGTAAAATATCAAAATGAATTTTCTTCAGTAACTACTCTATATACTCATTAAATGTATTTATTACTACAAAAATTTTTTAAAAGTTAATTTAATCATTTAAGAAGTACTTTATGCATATCCAAGTATTTTAATAAAAAATTTATTAAACATTTCTGAAATGCATATAGAATGTTATTTCTATCATACTTCAAAAACAGTAAAACACCAAAAATAAAAATTTTTACGTTAATTTTCAAATGAAATATTAAGCATACCTGTTTTGGTGGAGTAAAAAATGGGCTGACATTACCAATTCCAAAAATATCACCTAATATGCCTGCTGTATTAGTTGGTGGAGCAGGAGCTGCAGGAACTGGTGGTGCAGTAGTTGTGTTGGAAGCAGCAGCAGTTCCAGGAACACCTATTCCAGTGTCACCAAGCTAAAAAGTGATAGTTATGATTAGAATGGAAAATAAACAGAAACTTATGTTGTATTACTTACCAAACTATCTAATCCTCCTCCAAGAAGATCCATTGCTGCTGTGTTTGTAACTGGTTGGCTGTAAGGTTGTGCTATTTGATGAGTTGGAGGAGCCGCAATATCTATACTCAATAGATCACCAATGAGATTATCTGCACTTGGAATTACAGTTGACTGTTCTGTTCCAGATGCAGGTGCTGCAGTTGTAGCTGCAGCAACAGCAGCTGGACTGCCAGTTGAAAGTTCTTCCACAGATCCAACACTAAAAATTTACGTTAAAAATGAAAGTTATATGCAAAGTAATGCAAGTCACTAAACTATTAGGAGAAAAATTGTTTATTTTCAATTTATTTGTAGTCAATTTCAAGTCTCAATAAACAAGTAAAATTATAAAACTATGTTGTTTGTATCATAAAAATATCTAATTTGATATTTAAAAAAATGTTTTACATTCACAAATATGATTTGGAATTTTAAAAACATGAAAGATTTGGGATAAAATGTTTTTCTCCAATATCTAGCAAAGTACAGAAAAAAATTCATATGTCCAGCAACTTACGAATTTTGCCTAGGAGGTAGAGATTTTCGAATTCCAGCTCTTCCTTCAACAAATGCAGATGGTGGTTTATGATACACTGAAGCAAGACTACCAATGTGACATATTAATTCATCTAGTAGTGTTGGTTCCAGTAAATCAGTTTCTTCTGATATCAATGGCTTTTCAGCTAAAACAACTTCTTTTGCAGCAGCTGGATCAGTTGATAAAAGCCTCCAGTAGATAAAACCTCTATCTCTCAAATCTGGATTATCACTATCTTGGGTAGCCAAACTAAGAACTTGTTGAACCAATTCTTGAGTTTCAGTAGGTCTTTTCAAAAATAATTTTACTATGGCTGTTAACAGCTGTAACTGAACCTAAATAAGATTAAAGAATGATAATCCATTACTTTTAAATGTAACAAGCATTTTATATAGCACAAACTAGTTTATTAGCAATAGCACATCAGTATTTTCTGAATGGTCTTAACACAGGCTTTCAACTTAAATTTTAGTTCATTTGCAAATACAGTAGAGCGTCGATTTTCCGAAAGTCAATCATCCAAAAGGATTCCAATTGGCAAATTTAAATTTTCGCCAGTGCTGTGGCGCTTCAATCTTTGGTTGTGTCTTGGGCTACTCAAATATTTTACGTTTTTGATACTAAATTAACATCTGAAGTATAATTTTTTATTATTTGTATATTTTTCAATATATTTATTTTGTTTGTACAAAATAAAAAAATAATTTTTAACGATACAATAGTCTTTGTTAGGCTTAACATCGACGAAAATTCAACGCGAAGCGACACGCAACGGATAAAAATTTCGATATTGGATACGTTAAACTATTTTTTCGTACGTAAATCAGTTATCCGGACAACCCCAGTCCCCAATTGATTCGGAAAATCGACACTCTACTGTATGTCCATCTATTACAAAGAGAAAACAAATTTAAAAACACACTTAAAACGTTTATTAGAAAATATATAACTATTTCTGTTTTGTATGCAGTTAATTGTGTCCTAAAAGAACAAATTTAAAACAAAGTAAATTAGCTCTCTAAATTAGCTTGTGTTTTAACAAAAACATTTGAATCATTAATCTGCTAATAAATTCTTTCAAACACTATTTAACATTAATTAATTCCTCATTTCTTAATGCTTAATACTGATTTTCTTAATCACTGAAGTGAAATCATAATGCAAATTTTTTTTTTGTTTAATCCTAATTAAAATTCTGAAATCAAACTGGAAAAATTATAAGCAAAAGCACAAAGGTTAACTGTTGACGATGTAGAATTTAATATATTTTACAACAGTTTTTTCAAAAAAATTTTGTAAATACTGTTGTTTTTTTTTAAGTTAATATATGAATTTCTGAATAAATACATTAATTCTTCAGAAAGAATGAATAAAGTTAACAGTAAATTTATTCAAACTTTAGTTCAAACAGTTCACCAATTTTTATTCATTGTATTAAAGCTTGTCAAAGCATTTTTAATTTTTGACATAAATACTACATTTTCCAGGTGATTAATGTTTATTTGCCTCTTATACTAGCCATCTTATATTCATAATCATTAATTATATACTTCCAAATATCAGTGAACTTTAATAAACTTAAAAGCTAAAGCCTCAAAACCATAAATGCTGCTGTTTTGAATTGTTATATGTACTCAATTTTGTCTTATATTAGCAGCTAAAGCAAATCTGTGTTGCTAAAACAAATTAAATTGAACTAGTGAAATTCAAAATCATAGTATTCTGCAAAATTATGGGGATCTACAAGCTATTTCTAGGCATTCCACATGAATGTTCATTTGTAATAAATTCTAATATTAAAAAAAATGTTGCTATTTTAAAAACTTGATAATTTAACCTTTGAAAAATTTTTAAAAATTATATCAATAGAATTAACAACAAAAAAATTGTCATTAATTTTCTTCTATCTAGAAAATTTTCTACTTAGATTTTGTAAAAATTTAGTACTATAGGCTCCATAAATGTTGAAAGTTTGAAAGGGATTAGTTTAAACTAGATATACACAATTATAAAATTTAAATTTATAGGTTTTTTTGAAACCAAAATTTAGAAAATTCCAAAATCTTTATAATCAAAATACCTGAGTATTTTCATCATGAAATCCTTCTAGGAAACTTTCTAATAATTCATCAGCATTATCAATTCTTTCAGCATATTCACCAATTATCCAGATCATTGATGCTCTGAAAATAATCAGCTTTTACTAACAAACAAAATTATTCTAATGCAAATATTAAAAATTATAAATGAACTTCTAATACACATCTATCTATAAATGAATACTTACTGGCAATGGAAATTATCTCCTAAATCTGAATAGTTTTCATATAAGATCAAAATAAAGAATTATAGCAATTTATTTAGCAATATCCAAATCACACTGATAGGAATGTAACTACCAAAATCTAGGTGAAACTAAGTAAACATCCAAAATGCAAATCTAAATTATTTCATAAATACAGAAATTTGGATTTTTTTCAAGCTGATCATTATTTTAACAGCATTAAAATTTCTTATATTGCTGAATAATCTTATTCAACAAATCAAAATTCATTGTCTGCAACAATGAATTTTAAATTTTCATTCATTTCTCAAAAAATTCTTAACACCATTTAAATTATAGAATTTTAAAATATTTTATTTCTGAAATTAAAAATGTAAAACATTTGACCAGTTAAATTTTTCACAGCTGTTTGTCATGATTTATCAAAATACATCAATAAAATAGTAAAAGATGATGTATGATTATAAAATCTTTTCAGAAGCAAAATGATAATACCAAAGTAATAGTAGATGAAAAATCCTCTTAAAATAAATTTCATTGCTATTAGAAATAGAAATAAAAAAATTAAAATTTTAGTTATTTTAAAATTAACTTCCCCCAGTACTGAACTGTTTAATAAATATCAATTCATTAAAATATATTTTATAAAAACTGAAAGAACATTACAGTTGTATTTATGTACGTTTATAAATCATGGCAATTTCTTCTCATGTACAAAAAAAATGCTCTCTCAAAATTTATCATCACATAATTGTATGCATAGCACAAATTTTCTGCTCTGGCATTTTGGTGACCTGATGTCATTAAAAATTATGTCATAGAGGTCTAACACAATTGCCTCAAGAAATACATAACTGACAAACACATGTTAGACTATGATGTAATAACAATGGTCTGTAACTGTAAGACTGAACACTTCTCTAAGATAGCCTGGAGCAATACCATGACCTTCAACAATTTAAATGTTCTTGTAAACTTATTTCATGCCCGAAAAAAAATACAGAAAAATCAGTTTCTGGTCTTACTGAAAAACCTCAACCAGTCATTTATTTCCTGCCAAACTCATTTCACATTTGCTCACACTATTGCAAAGTTTGAAAGTCTCCCTTGGTCAAGGACGTTGTTCCATAAAAAAAAATCTCAAACTAAACAACACAACGTTGAAGTTTAGCATTTGCTCAGAAGACATTCCTTAAATTTAAAGATTCTGAAAAATCCTACAATGGCAATCACATGCACATACTTATGTGTGAAAAATCAACATAAAATGTCCAGATCATGCAAGTTTGCATGTTAAAAAACTACACATATTGCACAATGTTCTTAATATGATATGAATTGATAAACAGTTTAACTTTTACAAAAATAAATTAGTTTTGAAAATAATTAACAAGATGTATACAGCTAAAGCTAATTAAAAATATTTCTCTAATTTATGTTTTTTAAATTAAATTATAGTATACAAATATTCAAAATGCTTTAGAATTTCGAATTTTGACATGAAGCCAAAGAATCTATCAAACTTCATAGCCACCATGAAATTTTATAAGAGAACTGGAAAAGGTTCAAAAATAAATTACTCTTAGTCCCTTCTTCAAAAAAATAAAAGAATTTTCAAGATCAATTCTTGATCAAACTATACTAGATAGGGTCTTATTTTTTAAAGTTTAGATCAGCGTTTCTCAAAGTGAGCGATAACGCCCCCTTGTGGGCGCTGGAGGCGTTCAGGGGGCAGTAGAAGGCTCAAAGAGAATTGGGGGGCATTAAGGAAATATAGAGGGGCGACGGCAGACAAATTCTATATATAAAAATTTGACGGAATATATATAAAATGTTGACATTTTATATATTTTTTATTTTTTATTGAAGGTCACAACTTGAATATTTCTAACACATTGACTTTTATTTTAGCTCAGCGTTTCTCAAAGTAAGCAATAACGCCCCCTTCTGGCGCGATGAATAGATCTATGATAGAGGCAGGGTATTGAACGGTGACCAAAGGCAAAATTGGGGCTGATAAGAGGAAACATTGCGTTTAATGGTTTCCAGATGATGAGAACAATGTACAGTAAGGGCACAAAGTGTGAGATTCATAGAAAAGTTTTCCTAAGAATATTTCCAATCCTTTTCTCACACAAGAGAAAATGGGTTAGGGGGCGTTGGGTATAACTTTATGGAACAAAGGGGGCGGTGGATCGAAAAAGTTTGAGAATCACTGGTTTAGATAATAAAATGGAAACTATATCTTACAATAATTAAAAACAATATATATTTTAATATTTTATATTTTGTTACAACTTATATATTTTTATGTAGTAAATATTAATTTAATCTTTTATATTTAAAATACTAAGTACCTTGCTTCAGGTTCATCCAGTGTGTCAAGATTTTCACAGAGTGTTGAAATAATACTTTCATACTTGTTTGGATATTTCCTAAAAATATCCTATTCAAAAAAATTGAAATTATAGAAAATTTTTAGATCTCACTAAAAATATTTCAAACAAAATACTCGTTATATAAAAGTAAATCAAAACATGATTTGAAATTAATTTATAATTCAAATTTACTACTAAACTAATGACAAATTCTTTATAGTATTTTAAATGATGATTGCAAAAATGACTTATTTTATTATTGTATTTTACAGCACACAAGACACAGGCATATAAGATGCACCTCCATTTCAGTACAAAATATTTAGAAAAAGTAATGTATTTAAAGTCATCCCATCTTCAACATTTTAGCATAAATTATTTTACTGCATTCTGATTTAAAGAGACTAATATTAGAAAGCACACTTATTTATAAGGGAAAAACAGGAATCTGAAAAAAGTCAGTTACTATAAAAATATTCTACATAAATACTTGCAAAAGCACTTAGATATAACAGAAGCAATGTTTTTAATTAAACAAAAACATTTTTATTTATAAGCTGCATTAGATAGTAGTTATCTATAATCTATTGAAGAATGGTTGTGGAATTAATTAACCTCTGGGAGATCACATGTAAGATGCAGAGCAATTTGAGAAATGTCATGTCTTATATGCTGTAAAATACAGTAATTAAAAACTTAGACTAAAAAGGCTGTTTCATTCTTAAGTTTATATTAGAGATGCCACAAATATTCGGCCACTATTCGGTATTTGGCCTATTTGGCTACTTTTTTTAATATTCGATATTTGGCTGAATGTTGCATACTATTCATCGAATACCGAATCATAAAAAAAAAATGCACATATTACTCAAAAACGTATTTATTTTAATCACAAATTATTACATTTAATACTTAAAATCTATCAGTGGCAAGTTGTGATGAATGAAGACAATTTTTTCAGCATTTGTTGATAGCAAATGATTGCACTTTTCCTCATAAACTATACCTGCTTCAGAAAATAGCCTCACTATATACACTACTGCCAGGAGACAATAGATAAATCTTAGCGAATTCTGTCAGGCTTGGATACTGTTTTGCATTTGCTGACCACTAATTTAAAGGTCTGCTATCCGATATAGGTGAATAGTTTTCATATAAAGTGATATAATGATATTTTTTTAGTGATAAGGACTATTAGTAACACAATTTGATGTAACAATGAACAAATAATGCATGTCGTGACACGATCTACTTGCAAATAAAACAAATGCGCCTGCAGTGTTGCTACTGCACCCACCGCAATGAGACAAATATAACCTGTCACCCACGAAATGTACACATATTTTGCCGAACATTCGGCCGCCAAATATTCGGTATTCGGCAAAATCACTATTCGTGGCATAACTAGTTTATATAATTATTTTTATAATAAAAATCTAATTATATATATTTACTAAGAAAACTTATCAATCTTAGTTGAAACAGCATTAATGTTTAGTCTTAATTAACCATTTTTTGATAAAATTGTGCCCTAAACACATCTTCTATTATTAAAATTACTATATTAAAAGTTTACCTTGATGACAACAATTGCTTCTTGCACAACATAATTTACTTTTGTCTGTATCAGATCAAGAAGTGTACTAACACAACGTTCAGCTGATTGTTCAACTTTAATTGCACATCGTCCAATAGCTCTAACAGCCTTCCTGACAAAATCTACATCTACTTCAGTTGCATATCTGTAACACAAACATTACAATCTTTTATTGATGTACAATTATATATTGGTAAACAATTTTATTTGTATACAATTATCAATTCAAAACAAATCAGTTTACAATATCAATTGATAATTGTAAACTAATTTGTTTTGAGTCAGTTTTAAAAAGCGGAATATTTATCCTCCTCTGTGTATTAAAATCTCTTTATTTTAATTATAATTTAAATTTTTTTTTAATTTTGGAATTTAGCTTTGTTTGTTGATGTNATTGATGTAATAAACTAAAGCAGGAGTCACCAAACTTTTTCACAGTAGACCAGATAACTGAAAGAATGACGAGCGCAGGCCACGTAACCATTTTGTTCAATATAGTGTACTAAATACACAAAATGTACTGAAAAATTAAAGAAAACAAACGTTTATTTACCAATATGCAAACATGATCTCTGCAGCAAGCTCGTAATAGCTTTTCTTAGCAACTTCATTGCAGGTACTTACACAAAAAGCGCTCTGATATCCAAAGTTGCAAAAAGTTGCCTAATTTTTCATTTCACCGAGTTTCGTAAAAATTATATTACTGTCAAATGCAAAAATCAGATTGGACCAATTCTGGCATTTTTACTTACACTTATTTTAATTTTTTCTACATAGTAAGTTTATCTACAATCCGATATTTCCATATAAATAATTATATTTTAGCTCATTTACGGCACAGTGCAGTGTCAGGCCGGATAAAACTAACCTCGCGGACTGAATTTGGCCCATGGGCCTTAGTTTGGTGACCCCTGAACTAAAGGAAAAGATAAATTAGTATCATTTAACACTTAAAATTTATGGATCAAGTTTATAGCTACAGTATGNAAAATAGCCAATAACAGCATATTAATATGTATTTCATCTTTTTAATCCAGAATCTCTCACAACCTCATTTGATCAGACTAAGTATATATATATATATTTCTTATCAAATATCTATTAATATTGTAGTAAAAACAACAAAACTGAAGCTGAACCCAACAGCACAGCTGTATGAGATCAACACAGTACTGGTAAAAAAATTCCCTCATTGATTTCAGTTACAAATAAATTTATAATTTCTGTATTAGTAAAAATTTCAATACTAGATATGTTTTATTGAAAAATATAAAATAAATATACAGACACATTCATGTGATATCCCTATTCCATACTAAAATGGATTTACTTTGCATTAATTTTGTTTATACCACATTCTTCTAGGAATGTATCACTGATGTAAAATGAGAGCATCCTATATTTGGTGCTTTTCATTACAAATAAATTTATGAAATTATAATATGTATTCAGACATTCATCTTAAATGAATATCAATATTTTAACAATGTACAATATAAACTGTATTTATAAGATTAAAAAATAACTAATTAAATACTAATTAAAAAATTCAACTTAGATCTAAATAGAAAGATTAAATTAAATTACCTTTGAGCTTCTCTTTCATCTTTAGGTGTGTAATTAGATAAAGAATCTAAGATGAATACTTGACCCCATTCTGTACACTCATTTAGAGCAGTTAATAATTTATTAATTGTTTGAGCATTCATATCAATCAAAGGCTGACCACTGCTTGAAGTTTCATTTATTTCTGATAAAGCAGCAACAGCATTAGCTACTACCTAAAATTATAAAATTTACTTGATGTAACAACAGTATTGGTGTGACTAAAAATATTTTTCATATTTAAATAATTCATTTACAAATGCCCAATATCATCTGGAGAACAAATATTTTGAATGTACTTACATTATATGCATGCGTGCATTTTTATGCACGAACACACATTTATATGTATTATTTTTAGCCTACTTTTAGGTTCTAAACATTGTATTAAAAAATTGAGGGTATATTATACAAATTTTTAAAAAATTCATATAAACTACCTATTTATTGAAATAGCGATTCAAAATCTGTCACTTAATCTAATATGATTTACTATTGCATTAAATGATATGCTTAACTGGTAATGCTTAAAAATGATAAATGGTTATTTTATCTTATTCTAAATAAGTTTTAACTAGAAATAATCACATAAGTATCACCATCTATTATATAAAAAGATGTTCTTAATTTTTTTAAATCAGTGATATATATAGAAAAATTTACATATCGTTTGTCAAGCGCACATAGCAGCTGCATAGTATATAGATGCAGCATTGAAAATCAAATTCATAAAATGATACTACACAAAAAACCTACTATAGTTAAAATGCACATATTAATGTTGAATCAGTATATAATCATTTAATTCTAGGCATTTGTTTTCATTTCAACTGATATCCTTAAATAAACATTCCAAATTAATTTTAGTCAATATTTTATAAATGTTAATTTTTAAATAATCTAGCAACTTTTTCATAATTATGATAAACGTGTAACATTGATTGAGAATAGAAACAATTTGTTATTTCACATTAATAGATAGCAATGATCAATATGATATAATCTACTACTTCAAATCACCTCCATACTTTATAAACATTTTATGATAAATGTTCAAAATAAAATTAAGATATAAAATAAAGTTAACAGCACAGCGCGAAAGAAATGTAAATGCATAATATACCCGCAATTTTTAAGCCTCTCAAACACAAACAAGAAAATTATTCTATATACACATTTTCAGTTAGCCTCAATGTATACAAGATAATAGTTTTAAAAAAAAAATCCTGAAAAAAGTACCGATTCTATTGAATAACTTCTTATAATTTAATATTTAATCTTAATTATTTAATTAACATGTTTACCATTGGATTTGAATCAGAAAGTAAGTCTCTAAGCTGATCCAAAAATCCCTGATCTTCTACAAGCTGGGCATTGATATCATGTAACTTTGCAACACATACAGCAGCAGTTTTTCTTACATAAGGATCCTCATCTTTCAAACATTTCCTGAGTGGTTCACAAAGATATTCAGTGATTTTATCAACACGAATACATCCCATTGTTCTCACTGCTAAAGCTCGGATCAATGGATTTGGATCTTCACAATCCTAAATAAATGCTTCATTAGTATTACATTCATAAAACTGGGTTGTAATTAACTTAAATCAACAGTTACATGCTAATTCATAATCTCAATAAACTTAATATTTTAAAATTAGAACACAGTAATAAATAAAATTATAGATATTTTGAATATACCTTCACAAATGTATTAACAGCCATTATAGCCATATCTGGTTGACTTTTTGCATAATTCATTAAATAAAGATACACAAGTTTCTTCAATTCCAGATTATCAGTTTGCATACAATTAACAACATCGGGAAATAAAGCACTGAAAAAAAAATTGACAAAATTTTACTGTTACTTATTTAATTTGTGCAGTTAAAAGAAATTTTTATTTCATCAAAAACATCGAAAAACAAGATCATTATGTTCTGTAATAAATACATTTTTGTAATTTAATACAGAACATTCTTATAATTCGGAATTAGATTAACTGCTATTAATGAAATAATAATGTTAAAAATATAAGAGAAGAGTATATTTAGTCAATAAATCAAATATACTTAGTTAAAATTTACACATTCATTGTCAATAAAAATTACATTCAGTCAGTCATTTGAATAGAAACAATAACTTTCAAAACTCAATTAAATTATAAATATTTAACATTATATACTATTATAACAAAAATTTAAATCTGTGCGCATTACTACATACTATTTAAATTTTGATGCATAATGCATTATGATGATTATTGTAATTTTCAATTTAAAATCAGAATAAAACAAATTTAAAAGTTTAAATTACTGATTATATTTCAAATTCAAATCTAAAATAAGAAATTATATAAAATTTAAATTATAGAAAAACTTTTCAACCATAAAATGCTTAATTATAATAATAATTATAATTACCTGACATCTTTTCCTACAGTCATAGATGCTATAACTTTCTTCACAGCCTCTCTCTTCTTTTCTTTCTTGTCACTATTCAGTTCACTTTTTAACTCAAATATTTCTCCTGTAAAAATTATAGAGATAAATTTGGCAATTTAATAATTATGATTACATTATGGTAATTCTAATTTTTCTAAAAGGTTAGTAACAAAACAATTTTACAGTTAAATACCTTTTTTCGTAGTCGTGAAATACTTTGCATCAGTCATGATGAATGTTTCTTAAATCTAAAAATAAAGGTTTCAATTCTTAATAATAAAATATACAATCTGTTTTCTATTTTAAAAATAAAGCAATCACAATCAAATAAAGCTTATTAAAATATTACAAGTTTTCAGATATTGAGTTCACATATTTACTGCAGTAACCATATTTTTGTAAATGAGAAAATTCATGCACTGTTTTAAATCTTTGAATATTAAAAAAAATAGAACTAAACATGGCCGACGGTTATTTAAGTTTAATAAATATACAATAAATACAAGTACAACTTAGAATGATGGAAAAAAAAACTAAAGCAAAGGTTTTATCTTTGTTAAAAGTTGTACTTATATTTATTGTATATTTATTAAATTTTTAAAAAATTTCAAATGTTATTGTTTAGATGCAAGTCAAACAAACAAAAAGACATCTATAAAATTATAGCCCTTAAAAAATTCAAAAGTATTTTTAGCTCTCTGAAGAACATTAAAATGACTACAAACCATCTCCTAAGTACTCAATAAAAAAAATTAGTTGTCTATAAGGTGCAGTCAAAGTTCTGTAGTACCATGTCACCAACATGGTACTACAGGGTTGGCAACTAAGTGATTGCGGATTTTAAATAAGAAGGAAAATTCAAAATTTTTGCTTAAAAATATAACTTTATTCAATTAGGTATTGTCCATTTTTGTCAATGACATCTTGCCATCTTTCAGGCAGTGTCATAATTCCATGTTCATAAAACTTCTGATTTTTGCCAGTAAAAAACTGAATTAAATGTGTTTTTACATCATCAGAGTCATTAAAAATTTTACCATTTAAGGAGTTCTGCATGGAACGAAATAAATGGTAATCTGAAGGCGCAAGATCAGGGCTATAGGGTGGATGTGACAACACATCCCAACCTAGCTCCAATAATTTTTGGCAAGTGACCAAAGATGTGTGGGGCTTTGCATTATCATGCTGGAAAACAACTCCCTTATGGTTTGCCAATTCTGGCCGTTTTTCTTGAACTGCATCGCTTAGTTTGGCGAGCTGTTGAACATACACATTTGAATTAATCATTTAGTTTCTTGGTAAAAGTTCAAAGTATAGAATTCCTTTATAATCCCACCAAACTGACAGCATAATCTTTTTTTGGTGAATCTCAGCTTTTGGTGTCATCTGGGCTGGTTCATCTCGCATCACCCACGATCTTTTCCGATTAACGTTGCTATAAACTATCCACTTTTCGTCGCCAATAATCAGTCATTTCAGAAGTTAATCGCAGATGCTAATGCGTTGCGTCAAATGAATTTCCTTAAGTTGATGAGGGACCCATAAATCCAGTGTCTTAACATAGCCAAGCTGTTTTAATTTTTTTTGAATGCATGTATGTGATACATTGAGCTTCTGTGCCATCTCATGCATTGTGCTAAGACGATCTGAATAGATAATGGCCTTGATATGGGTCTCATCAACTTCAACTAAATGGCTAGATCGTTGAGCATTTTTCAGTGAAAAATCACCGGAACGAAATTTGGCAAACCAATTTTGACACTGCCTTTCTTTCAAGGCTTCATTCCCATATACGGCACATAACTTCTTGTGTGCTTGTGATGCGTTCTTGCCTTTTTGGAAATAATACAATAAAATATGTCTGAAATGCACGTCTTGTTCTTCCATTTTTAAATTGGAATAAAAATGAAACTAAATAACTAATCAATACAATTTTTTACTAAATTATAGGTGAAAGTCCAAACAACAAGAAAACAATATAGGTTAAATGCTTTGAACATGATAACAAAGCAAAAAAATGTGCTAAGGCCACCTGTTGACAAAATCCGCAATCACTTACTTGCAAACCCTATACAATCAGCCATGTGCTGAACTTGCACAAACTAGGATTGGTAATAGACATTAGAGAGGTTGCGGCTGACATTTTCATTGCAAAGTGTACGTCTAACATTCAGCACAGCCTTCCTGTAAGTTTAGAAGTTTGACAAGTGGTGTTTGGAACCTTAGTGGAATCATGCTTGCCTTACCAAATGCCATTGTCAAACTTCTAGGCTTACAGGAAGGCTGTGTTGAACATCCGATGTACACGTTTTCACGATGAAAACATCAGCCGCAACCTCTCTATTGTTATTCAACTTCCTCCAGATTTCATGCCATTATCTTATGTAGTTTTGTTTCTTGCTATTTAGATTTGATCTGTGTCCTAGCCAATTTGCAATTTTCATTGCTTTGTAAAATGAATTATTTTAAGGAACAGTGTGCAAGGTGAAATTTTGTTTCAAACTTGGCAACACTACAATAGAAAAGTAAGTGATTACAGGAGACAAAATATAAATTTAGAATTATGATCCTGAGACCAAACAATAATAAACTCAGTAGAAAAATCATGACTCACTCAGACCAAAGAAAGTACACCAAGTGAGGGTAAATCTCAAGAACATGCTCGTTTTTTCAAGAGGGGATTATTCTCCGAGAATTTGTTCACCAAAGTCAAACTATGAATAAAAATTTTTATGTAGATGCTTTGAGGTGCCAGATGAGAGAGAACAGATCTTTAAAAAGCTCATAATGGGTTGTTTCATCATGACAACACCCCTGCTCACACAACTCTATTCAACAGTTTCTCATCAAAAGTAAAATGGCCATGGTTCTCCACCCTTTTTATTCACCAGACTTGGTACTGTGTAACTTTTTTTCTATATCCACAGGTGGAAAAAGTGCTGAAAGGACAGCAAGAACATTGATAGCATTCAAACAGAATCACAGCAAGTGCTTAACGTCACAAAAAAGTTCCAGAAATGTTTTGAAAACCAGAAGAAGTGCTGGAATTTATGTATAGCTGCAGAAGAAACTTATTTTGAAGGCAACAACTCAAATTAATGTGTGCAGCAGACATATTTTTATTAGATCAGTCCCAAAACTTTTTGACTGCACCTAAATTCTGTAAGAAATGGTTAAATGAATTATATAGCGTTTCTCAAACTTTTTGCTCACATGATCCAATATAATGATTCCATAACCCAGATGTTTATAATACATGGGGGACCCAAAAATAATCAGATTTTTTGTATAAAAACTTTATTTATTAACTTTTGCGACCCATTAAAATTTTAATGTGACACAACATTGGGTCACAACCCATCAATTGAGAAACACTGGATTATATAATCATATTTGTAATAAACTTTTTCCTTTCATCTTTTATTATTGATGTTACTGCAAAATAAAATTTGAAAGAACCAAAGAGAAAATAAGATTCAGTCTAAAAAGTAGTAAGAAGAATTTGTATTAGAATATGAATAATTTAGATTGAGATAACTGAAAGAAAAAACCAATTATCAGAATAATTTGAAAGTTAATACAATATATTTTCACACTTTAATATTCACTTCTTGATAAGCAAAAATACTTGATATCTTGTCAATATATTAATGATACACCTCTTAAATCACATTTTAAACAAATTATCTGAAAACATTTGATTTACTCAATTGTATCAAAATAAAATTTTAAAAATTTAATAGTGCTAAAAATCTAACCATTTCCATTTTTAAAGTTTATTTATTCCTTTTAGTTCACGAATAAACTATCTTTATTCTATGAAAAAGTGTACTGGAAGAAACAATTAGCATTTTTAAATTTCTGAAACAATTTATGGCTGAAGTATGCATGCTATCAGTTATTCGAGAAATAAAGCATTTGTTCATATTGTAACATGACACTTCATTGATAGCAATGACTTCCTTCACTCCCCTTTGATTCTGTTTATTAACATTTTCTCTTAATCCAAGATTAATGCACTAGCAGCAACCAATTTGGAAATTTACTTTTCAAAGAAATACAAAATTTCAATTATTTCACTAGGAAAAATATTCTGAGCAAAAGATATAAAGAATTGTAACTACTAAGTCAGACTTTCAAAAAAATTTATATCTAGACTCAAATATAAAAGTTTAAGCATAACTTATCTTACATACACTTTGTGTCATCAAAATAGTCTATATATTATTGGCATACCATATAAAAACAGCAGATTTATCAGGTAAAGTTTGTATAGTTTTTAAAAGTAAAATTAAATTATACATAAAAAAACATTTCAGAAATATTTGCATCTTGTTAAGGAAAAAATTGTGCTGTGTGTAATTCCTGAATAAAATATTTAATTTTTGTTTAAAAGAAAAACTGTTTTGGTTAGCTAGTAACTAACATGAAAACCAAGCCTACACTCAAAGTAACTCCTTTCCTTTATGGTAAGTAAAGTACTTGAATACTAAAGTATATAATTGCACACAGTCTTTCAATGTTGAAAATTATTTAAATATTCAAGAAAATCAAAAATAGAACTTTACATGGAGAGAATTTTCAAAATAATACATCATCCTCCTCGGGTGATCAAATGAAATACTTGTACGACATTTAAATTTTAGAACAAAACAACATTAATGATTTCGTTTTTGAAATTTATATGTATTTTATACAAACTATTACTAGATACATTAAAAATTACAAATTTAACAAGGAAGAGTAAAAATTAAAATATAAAGTACTGGACCTAAAGAAGATATGTTTAAAACTGAAAATGTTAGTCGTTAATAATAAATTTACGACTGGAGATACAAAGGTTTTGAATATGTTTTTTATTACAAATTAACAAAGTTAATTTGTAATGCCGTAGAATTATTCATAAAGTATCATCAATTCCCATCAGAATAATTTTATTTTTATTATTTTAGATGGCTATAAAGAGAGACCATATGTTTTGGTAGTGACAAGAGTCTAGAATATAGAAACATCCAACAATTGCCCAAATGATCGGGCTATAATTCCACTAATTTTAAATATTCTAGACTACTTTGTATTAATTAAAGACATCTTGGTAATCAATTTTAAAAACTTATTGACATGGAGTATTTGACAATTCAATATGTGATTTATTGATATATAAGCTACACACTAGTTAAAAAAATAANACCTAATTATAAATAAAGTAAAATAATTATACTAAATTGATGTAATAAACTAAAGCAGG